CGGCATCGTAGTCGGCATCGTCAGTGAGTTTTACCATTCGTAGCACTATCTTACAACTCGTCAGAGACAACTCTTCTACATAGTCCCCCTGACAACAAGACCAAGTTGCGACAACGAGGTCAACCCAATACTATAAATCGAAAGGAGACTGCGACCTTTGACGAGTTGCTGTATGGGGCTTAGAATGGAGATACTCACTGACGATGCCGGCGAAACGTCTAAGAATGTACCACGTCCACGGTCCGACTCTGGAAATAATTATGCATACAATGAACTCAGGACAAGTTGCGTTTCTATCAGTCTTCCTACCATTATGACCAAGTTGCGAAAACAAGATCAAACAACTTCAATATTTAATTAAGATAATTCAATGCTAGAAAACTTAATTAGAGGCTGTAATAATACCGATAGATTACTTCCTAATTAAAGAGTACTTAATTTTGTTTTCGGCATTCCCCACTCAGTAATCTATGCGGATTAATAAAAGTTGGGTTTCCAGAAAGAGTACACCCAATTAACTTAAATGAATTAAAAATTTATAAAAATTAAAGATAATGCGAAATAGTTTTCATTAGCGCTCCTTGGGTGTATATATAGATAATGACTTTATAAAGAATCAGAAATTAGTCTAATTCAAATATACCCTTTAGAAAGGTATGACGCTATTAACGGGAAAATAGAATGGTTAAAGACATAATAAGATAGGTAGGAGACCAATAGTTATACAGAATGCTGGAAAATGGACAAACAGGAAATTAAATGAAGGTCAAATTAAGGAAGGGTAACTAGGTAATTAAACAGAAGTTGACAAGGGCTAACAAAGGAGTAGGTTCGTAGGCGCATAAAGAGGAAGTGGAGACAGATAAATGACTTAAACAGTGTCACATAAGCTTGAATGGAGATGGACATGCACTTGGTCTTAGAGTTCAAAGTAAATGCAAAGCGCATGATTGACTATAAAATCTAATATGATAAGGCGAGAATAAGTCACATGCCAAATCGTAGCAAGAGAGAGAAATTCGTAACAAGTAGGCATAGGCGACTAGTGTTGACGGCAAGAGTGCATTTGATGAGTTCGATCAATATTCTTTTTAAGCCTAATGTTTAAGTAAGATAGGGCAGATAGAGCAGACACAAGCTTAATGCAAAAAAAATTTACCTTGGTAAAAATGGAGTGTACTAACAAAATCAGATTTATATTAAATGGAAGGAAAGGATACAGAAATAATATGCAATCCAGCAAGCATATCAACTGGAAAAATAAAACATTTCCAATAATGAATGATAAAAAACAAGTGTAGAGGCCAAAAGATAAAAAGCTAGAAAAAATGCAGATGAGTTATTAAAACTAATAAGGAAGTCAAAGAGTATATTAGAAAATTTCCGGCTACAAAATGGAAAATCATTATTGACGAGATGAAGCTTGCCAGATTGTCAAGCATAAAGGTATCAAATTTGAATAAATGAATTTTTAGGATGAAAACCTGCCAATAATTTGGATTAACTAAACAAAAATATTGATTTTAAGCTACATATAAGATAGTGTTGCCCTATGAAGTTTTCTTAATAATTGATGTACTAAGCAGTATAACGTAAATCATCATTAGAAAAACAGAAATTGTCAAATATCTGTTATACCAAATTTATTCTTTCCTAATTTATTAATGAAATATTCAATAGTACATTTGTAAAGGATTTTAAAGATCAATAACAGATACGAGCATCACAGTGGATAAATGCCTAAATTTTTCCAGTTTGGTCTTTCAAGAGCCAAAAATTTGGCACCTTACTGCAAACATGCAATACGGATTGATGACATTATAACAAAATTGTATTTGCCAGTATATCAACGGAGTCATACTAATATAAGTGACCATAGCAATTTATGAAACTAGGTATAAAATACAATGAAAGGTCATTATGGTGATTTAATACAGGTAGAAGGCTTCACAATGCCTACGAATTTACCATAAGCCAAATAACGACAAAAAATGAGTTTAATCAAATTTACCTATTGCCGCCATTAGGATGGGTAGACGTACTTTTTCTTATAAATCATATTTTATCTACGACTCAGCTATAGAAGAATATAGATGATGTCAAGCGGAAAAATTTAAGTAAGATACAGAATATCCCATTGGGAATTTTGAAGCATAAACGACAGAACCTGGGCGAAGTCGAAAAAAGCCATTATTTAATTCTAAGTAAAATATGTAGACAATGAGGCAATATAAAAATTTGTACAATTGACCCAATATTAGAATTTTAAAGGCTCGAAACTGGACAAAATAAATGCGCAAAACAAACTAAAGCTCCAGATATCTTAATTACTGTTCTTTTAAATGGAAAGATTCAATGAAGGAAAGACGCGCCTAAGAGGAAAGAAATGATATCAAAATTCTTTATTTTTCATACTTCATCGTTTGATAATAAAAATAATAAATGGGCCATCTTTATATTTTTTCGAGCATTTTGATCTATGAATTTATGAAATAGTATAGAATAAGGGGATAGGTCAATTACTTCATGTGAAGTAAAAGTACACTTGAACTGAAGTTTTCTTTGATGGCATCGTCATTTTCACTAATATAAAAAACAATACATTTATAATGAATTTCAGCTGACCTGAGGAAACATGTCGACTGCTGAGGCATACTGTTCATAGAGATGCTCAGTTGTAAGTCCGCTGCCAGTAGACGATAGTTGAGAGTCCATAGGAAGGAGGATATCCTGAGCAGGAGGATCGGATCGAGAATAAGAGCCTTGCACAGATCCAATTGATTTGAGAAGTATGCCGGAGGCAGCATCAACTTCCTGACCTATCTCCTCGACAACAGAAGCAGAACTAGAATTGGCAAAACTTTCGCTTTTGACAAGAAGCTCCTGGCTATGTGACTCTTCAAGGGCAAGGTCTACGCCTAAATCAGGGTTGACATTATTAGCGCGACTTGTATTCGTAGCACCGAGATTTTGCAATATCTTAGTAGTCTCTTGGGTGGATGAGAGGGTAAGTTGATGCTCAGGAATGGATGCAGGCTTAGTTTGAGGGCTACCAGTAGAATCTGAAATACCAGAGAAAACAGGCCCGGGAGCAAAGGTCCGGTGCAGAGAAGCAGCGAGTTGTTCCTCTCGTTCCAACCGACTTGATAAAAGAAGCGCTTTTTTGCGCAACTAACCAACGCGACATAAAACAAAGAAAAAAAGATATATTGTCAGTGACAAGTACGCGATGCATTGGGTGAAATAAACAAAGAAGAGACTCCGAGACTAAGCAAC